GTTGGAATAGTATGAAGATCATAATCATGTGTAGTCCACAATACTTGAATAAGAATAGGATCATCATTCACTTGATCATTTTGAAGGTTGCCAGTTTCATCTAACGGTTGAATTGGAGCAATAATGCAAGCAAGGTAATATAGTATAATTGCCAACAGATACTGAACAATATTCATGCTTAGAGATACTTTAAGGAAAGTTATTGATTATTTTATAATCTAAAATAAAGAGCAAAAATATTGTTAAATGCATTAATTCTGAGAAACGTCAACGATAATGAACAAGAATCAAAAGATGAAGTATGAAAAATATGGTTACTATGTGGTATAATAAGTCTTCTATTTTCTTTTTATCCTACCAACGGGTGAGGCAGATTAAATTACCAACCTCTTTGGTATTCACTTGTAAAGAACCGTTCCAAGCTATCTGGAAACAAAGCAAACACAGCTCTACATTTTGATATAGAAAACTATTTTAATATAAGTTAGTTTGGAAATGAAAATTTCCAAATTATAACATGACTAAAAATGACTTTGCTTGTAGGTAAATTTTTTGTGTAGTCGTACAACTTTTCCGATTGCTTGGTTGTATCGATAAAAATGATGACTATTAAAATATACTGATGATCATAGGTTAATAATGATGTCTGTGACGCTATCACTTAATGTACACTTTGAAATAAGATTCGAAATAATTGTTTGTTCCAACTTGAGATAAGTTTCAGAAAAGTTGTAAGACCGCACAAAACCTGTACCTGTACGCAAAGTGACTTTTTTTGTCATATTCTAATTTAGAAATTTGGATTTACTAAATGATTTATATTGAAATAGTTTTTCATATGAAAATGTAGAGCTTTGCCTGCTATATCCGATGTTATATTTTGTTTCTAGATAATGTTGAACGGTTGATTACAATAAAGGTCACAAAGACTAGGAATTTCATTTGCCTCACCCATTATTTAAAACTTTGAACCACGCGACATATAGTACGGTTGTTATTTTCTTCTATTTTACTTGGTAAGCATTTTTTTTTTGCTTTATTGCTTTGTTTTATAAGTCACACAGACACAGGAAAGTAAAAGAAAAAGAAGAAAAAAAAAACCGTTGCGTTCGGTGATCAGTTGGCTTGCTGACGGTCGGGACGAGAAAAGAGAATATATCGACAGAAAGAAAGCGCTATATGTCGACGTATGTTGTTGAGTCGACAGAGCGTAATCAGTAATAACAGTTTGCACACTTCTTGGATGAATTTCTTTTACCGAACAATCATTTTTTGTAGATTACAGATGAAAATATTTAGAACTGTTCGAAATGTTATCGTTGTCAAAGCCCTTGTTTTAAATGGTAATAACAATCACCTGCTACAGTTTTTCATCAGTAAACAAAACAAACGAATAAATCAGACGCCATGCAGTCAAAAGAATGGAAAAAGTTTGACTTTATTCACGCTTATAAAAACTAAATTTGAACATTTTGAAGAGTTTTTTTCTTGTATAAGAAGAAAGTGATCTGGTGAATGTTAATGTTTTAAAACTTGTATTTGTTCGAAAAAAAGGCGTTTGTGATGCGTTAGAATATATACTTTTTACAAGCAAAAACGTTGGTGCCATTCGGTCTTATCTGCTGTCGCAATAGAGTAAAGAATCTAATGTTAACCCTTTACTCACTATTGGGGTCATTTTTGACTCACTGGTAGAATGATCTCAGAAAGTAAAGAAAGCATGGGATTGAAAAACTTCAAAGACAGTATTTGTAGGAAACTCCACTAGCTATCAATTGGTAAAAATATTTTCTTTCATTGCTCTGCATTCGAGGTATATAACTTACAAAGTCGATAATTTTGAAAAGCTGCAAAAATTCGAAATTTTTCAAACAAAATGTTCTCTACGTGCAGTTGATAGAGTTCTTTTCTGAATTTCTGTATGATATTAATTGACGAAGAAGTCCACTGCTGAGTTAGATGTGGTTCGAAAGCTTCATGATAACTCCGCGAATTATACATACTAAGGAACACTATTGACTATGTAGTCACTCTTAGAGAGGTGAAGGCTAATGAAGAATAAAGTTAATATGTCTGTGTTGTAAACCTCAACTCATTAGAAGTTGAACTAATACTTACGACGAATTAAATTCCTTCAGAGGTTATAAAATGGCTCAGAATAAAATGGGCTTAAATTTTACAATAGGTGTATAAACAGCATGTATTGTTTAGTGCTAATTTTTATCGGTTCACTCTTTACGCTTTTCCTATCATTTCAACAGTACGAGATAGATGTTGCTTCGGCCTAGTCAATAGTGTGGTCAAAGACAAAGATGAAGTCTTATGATGTCGCTCAATTTCCTTTTCCCACTACATGATTTTTAGACAAATCAAACTACCCTACTCCAGGAACAAGACATTCGTTGGATTAGGCTACACTTGGTATATTGCAGAGGCTAGTATTCTATTTATAAAGTTATTTTATCACTGGCTCTTCTGGAAGTGCTATGGAGGTAAAGGATTAATATGTTCATTTGTAAAATACATCAATCATTTAAATTAGATAAACTATCTTACGAGAATACATGATTATATAAAACTGTCCAACGACGTTTCAGTCCATAGATTAGCGATGAATAACACCCAGTGAGACTTAAAATCCTCCAAAAATGCTTTCGATCCATGGCGTGGTTAGATAGAAATCTAGTTACCGTATAGATATAAGAGAATGAGATTTTTTAGTTCCTGCTTGATTTTTTTTTATTATTCAAAGAAATGGAGATCGGTAATTTTTAACATAGAATTGCCATTTGATCAACGACGCAGAATCATGTTCTTTCGAAAAGATTCGATCGGTTTCGAGATAATACTCATTTGAGTCCTGCTGCTATACGTTTCTACAGAGATGAAAAAGTAAGTAAAGGATATACTTTTCTTTTTACTTGAGAATCCTTGAACTTTGACTTTAGTGTAGATCATACACATTGACTTAACTATTTTCTCAGACGCTGTTTCAGAAATAACCATTAACACCTTAAGCGGTTCTGTTTTTGAGCATTTGAGCATTTAAGTAAATTGGTTTTCGATCTGTTCAACATTCTAAAGCAACACAGGTTATTGAACATCTTTGTATAAGAATCTCTGAATGTGGGGTAACATTTGCGATAATTCATCCAATGATAGGTTGAAGCGTAGTGACATTGACAGAGGGGTCGAACTTTTAATTTATTTTCTTTCAGCTGTCACTGTGTATAATAAAAAAAAGCAAAGGTTTACTTTTGCTATTGTGTTACAAGATAGACTTCAATGAACGTTATCTCGAGGTCGATTTGACCTTCTTGAAGGAATATGACTTTACGTCGTATGTCAAATGAAAGTTCAATGTTAAAAAAATCAGATCTCAACTTCTCAAAATAAAGAAAAAACCAAGCACAATCTAAAAAAATCCTATTTTCTTATACCTATGACCTAACTCGATCGTCGCCTAGACATAGCGTGAGATCGGACTCTTTTAGAGCTTTCTTTGCTTCACTGGATCCTACTCATATCCGAAATATGGATTCGAAGAACGTCCGACAGCTGAATATATTTCCTTTTAAGTTTTATTCAAACTGTAAATTTTGAACGGAAGACAAGCAAATGTTCTGTGATCATTTCATGTCGTCAGGCGGCATATGAACAACAGCGACAGCAAATGGACTTAATGTTATTCTACTCAAAGTTAATGTCACTTCAGTTGCTGGTCCAAAACCTGATGCTTCATTGATAATTTGCATTCGACCACCAGTACTTCCAGGTAAAAATACATCAACATTAGCATATCGTTTATTAATAATCAAAACCCATCGATGTCCATTTTTACCAATAAATCCTTGACTAAAGATATTTTCTCCACTAACATCTGTTGTTTGTGTTACAACAGCTTGATCATTATCAATATCAGTTGTTTCAATCAGAAGTTTTGATGTCCAATATTCAGCTGTTCCTTGACCTGTAGTCCAATTGAGCAAGGCAACACTCGGATATTGTGGTTGTAGTTGAAGATCAGATAATTCTGGATAACCTATAAATAAAAGTAAAAGAAGATTGATATGAAAGAATTTAGAAGGTACCATACTAACCAACAAGTTGACTATGACCAACAACATCGATTCCTTGTCGAGATATTCTTGCCCATGCATAAGCATAGAGTGCAGCTGCAGCATTCCAATATATCATAGGAAACTGGGGTGCCCCTGGAGTGTTATCATCAGGAAGTATAACTCCTAACTCATCAATTGTTGTTCTTGTTTCTGGTGAAAGAATTTTTCGAATTTCTTCAATTTGTTCAACTTCAAATGTAAAAGTATCAAGTTGACTGAAAAATATTTCCCAGTCTTTTGGATCAGTTCGAGAATTAGCTAATGCATAGAAATGGTACGAGATCATATCAAGTGGAATATCAGGAGCATGATTTGAATGATTAAGAAAATATCGATACCAATCAAACTCATTATGTCCTACAACAAATATTTTGATTAGAATAATCTTCGAAGAGTAATGGAAAAGACAGACCTCCTAATGCCATTCCAACATATTTCATATCATAATTATTTGTATGTCTTCGAATACCTTGAATGACTGCATCATATGCTCGAGTATAAAATTCAACACTCATATGATGTTCTGATTCAACTTCATTGAATATTTCAGTATAATCCCAATTATATTCATAGTTAGATGTATGTTTTCGACCATATTCATCAATAAAACCACCTCTAGTATACCATGCAAAGAGACGTCCATAGTAATCACCTAATGCTTGCATAGTATCGTCAACTAATACTGTACCAACTGGATATCCCCAATCAGCTAATGAAGCATTGTCAGGATAAATATGAGGTGTATCTTGTTTAAAGAGCCAGTTTGGTTGAGTTGAAAATGAAATAATGCGTGAATGACCATCAGTAGCATCGAGGAAATCTTCTAACATTGTGTCAAGATAAGTAAAGTTATAGTAAGTATTATTTTGTGGTGGGTTGCATTGAATTTGAATAAGTAATCGTTTTGCTGTGCCTTTACCTAAATAAAATGAAGTATTTTTGTATGAGTTGAATTATTATTGAATTAAAACCATTTTGAATGGAGAACGAAACGATGTCTGGAAAGCTAAAATGATTTGATAGTATTTAATCGTCATATGCATCTTATAGAATATTTTTTTCTCAACTGTATTTGTCTGTTTGTATTCAGATAGAATCAGATTTATTGATGTATCTAGTGGAAGCTATTACGGTGAAGTTGTTAATCAATATATGGTGAATTGTATTGAAAGTATCAGAAAATTGCATTTGACTTTTGCATGACTTCTCACGTGATATTATTTATCATAGAGAATAGAACCTTTATTCTTCAATTGAAAAACTTACATGGATCACCAAAGAGATCACTCGTTGCTGGAACACTACATGTTTTTTGTCCAATACACACTCGTTGAACAATTTCTGAACTATTTGCTGCATGACATTTTCCTTGTTGCATTTCACCACATGCACCACTTGACGTTCCATACGATGCAAAATCAACTTTACTTATCACTCCACCACTTTGTTCACATGATAGATTTATTGAAAAATCTTCACCAACATTACCACATTGAAATAAACCTGATGGAGGATCAAGTTCAGCAACAGCTAATTTTGGATAAGGAAACCAAACAGCATATCGAGCATATTCAGCATTAAGTTGTTTCAAACTTGCAAAGATTTGCTTGTAGATAGGTGAAAATTGTCGTGCTAAAAGAGGATTGGCCACAACTTGTAAAGTTGGAATAGTATGAAGATCATAATCATGTGTAGTCCAC